TTTCGAAGGGTAGAGGTTTAGATAAGTTTGGCACTTGTGGAGTCTGATTGTCATACTTTCTTCCCTACCCTTCCATTTTTGAGACTTTGACATTCATATGATTTTTAAGGTCGTTTGTAGATCCAAATAATCTTAAAAATTCATTAAACTTGTCCGCAAAATATATAAGACTGTTAAAACATATATAAACAGCTTGATTGATCTTCTACTTATCAACAAATCAAATATCATATACAGAGGATCTTGTGGGAATGCTGATGTTATGTGAAACTCATTACCTGGGTACACAAGTACATTTACATATAGGTATCTGACGTATGTAAGTTACAAGCATTTAGGCATGTGATATCAAATTATCCAACAAAATTAATAAATATCATATTATATCAACAGGAGTGTAAGATTCTATTCATCATTATAACATTTTTTTCAAAAAATAGTGAAAAATCACAAATTACCTTCTCTATCAGGCAGACATGATGATGTGTATGGTTCACAACTGAGATAATCATGCGACATCATCAAGGCATGACTTATTTATGACGTCACAATAACGTTACGATGTATTACACTTATATCTCAGGCTATTTATGACAAATGACTGTATATATGGCACAACTGGTAAGTTATATGATAAAACAAATTTATTTACCTCGCATGAGTGTGCTTCATTCCTGAAGATAATCATGTACTCAGTGATCAGTTTAAATGTGTAGAAATGAAGAAATAACTGTCGTACTACTGTAATTAAATAGAAATAAATAGATACTCATAACAAAATACATAAACCTTTCTCATTTCAAAATCTGTCAGTTCAATACCTACAGCAAAAACAGCAAAATTTAAACACCGATGATAAAGCTGGAATTTGTGTAAGAAAACTGATGACTATTTTCTATCTTTTTGTTTTCAAAGATTTTTGTAAGTAGTGGATTTTATGAATAAATATTGCTGACTAATCCACTCATCTTTAAAATCAACTTATTTTTGGATGCTTAAGATTTTGTGGAGCTGGAAATCAATAAAAAAAATCCCAAGAAAAATAAATAATTATAATTTAACAAAACCAGAGATTGTTTCTGTTATCTCGTTAATACTGTAAGCTCTTATCAGTATGCTGCCCTTGTTGGTTGACGTAAAACATCCAGTTTCTGTGTACGTGACACATGCGGTAATATACAAATCACAGATTCATCAATCCCATCACTCGGGCCTTGCTTATCCAATCATCACGCGGTAGGTAACATCCGCTGACTAACCGTCGACCTGTGAAAGAAGCACGACCATGCATAACCCTCCAGTTGTCTACAAATAACACCATGCCAGCCTTCAGTTTTATCCACAGCTCATTTTCCTGGTTACGAACTTCCTGAGTAAGGGCTTCATAAGCTTGGTAGAATGCTTGTTGGTCATCAGGGTGTACAGTGTACAGGGGTGATCGATCATACGGGTTATATCTGTGTGATAACAAAATACATATAAACCAGATATCAAGTTCTATCTAGTCCATGCCTGCCACACAAAATTTATACTCTGATTGATATTTATATAAGGCTTAAATTTCAAGGCTGTCTTAGAGAGCAATTTTTTGTGCATGTCCTCTTAATATAGATTCACTCTTAACAGAGGTCTCTTAAGAGAGGGAACACAGAGGTCTCTTTAGGAAGGTGACACAGAGGTTTCTTTAGAGAGATTACATAGAGATCTCTTGAGAGAGATAACACAGGGGTCTCTTGAGAGAGAAAACACAGATGTCTCTATGCAGAAGTATATTTAAAGGGTTTCGGCCACGACTTTGATATCTGTCAAATTCTTCTACATCATAATCTACATAACCCTAACACTGATATGGTGCCACACAAACACATTCCTGATACCTATTTACAAGTTGCATTTTTGTGATATTAGCTTTCACAAAATTTCACACAATGTAAAATTGTAGTCAAAAGTAACAATTAACTGCAATAATTCTAGGCAAATAAGCTATTAATCATTTCTGAGAAGGTCATTCATGTAACTACATATAGTTAAGCCATGGGCTTGACTTCATTTTCAAAATAGTAAAAGAAAGAAAAAAGAATTCAATTTATTTCTTGCTATCATACATCATTATGTAAAATATACCCCATTTGCAAAGTTACATTTCATTTTAAATAATTCTAAACGAACATAAATGTCAGCTTGATCAGTGTAGGAGTGTTTTATAAGGTAAAGAGAATTGAAGCTTGTCGAGAAAACACTTTGACATCACACACCACATGACATTGTTAAATATGAATATTCACCAGGTAAGCTAAAAAAAGTAGGCAAACCTTTCATGGTCGTCTGTGTGTCGATAGAGACAAGATACTGCAAACTGTATACATCATTGCATTATTTTAGACTGAAATGTCAAATTACGCAAACTTGCGGCCAAAACCCTTTCAGGTTAAGAGAAGTGTATACTTACCTTATCTGTAGAAACTGACCAGTAGTTGGATGGACAGAGAGGACAGTACCAAGACTACGCACACGCAGCTTCTCTTCATAGTATTCATGGGGAATGATAGTCCTGGTCAGAAGATCAAATTTAGCCGGATATTTGGATCGCAATTGTTCTGCACAGTGTTGTCCATCTACCATGAGAGTCTGGCCTCCCTCTCCATCATGCTCAAGAACATGAAAAACCTGTATTCTAGAGAAGAGATCCATCATTGAATTAAACCTAATACTAGCACATTTGATGAGAGTGTTATTGAATCTGGGCTATAATAAGCACAGGGAACTAATCTACCATACAATGATAATTCAAAATCATGGAGTGGAATTTTTGCAGAGAAATTGATATCAGCTTTGATAACTTTGTATCATGCCTAGTGTATTTAAAGCTGACAATGCAGTTGGTCAATTCCAAAAGTAAAATTTACTAATAATTGAATCAGCATAAATTTTTGCAGATTGAAAACTGCTTTAATCTGTGATGGATATTTTTCTATAATTAACAAATAAGAAACCATCAATGAGAATTTAAAACCTTGACAATCAACGAAAAGACTATTTGAGCTCATGTGACAGCAGCCACTGCCGTAAATCCAGAAGGTCAAAATATATAAACTTAGACTCGAAGTTGGGAGTAGTCTTATTACAAGACAACATACTACTTTTTTTCATCAACTGTAATAGACATGGATGGACTGTAATTTTAATGGTATGACAATGACCATTTTATTTGTTGCTGTTTTAATGTACAGTGAACATCCTCGGCCAGATGAATGCCTTACCCGCTCGGACTTGTGAAATAGGTGTTGTCTGTGTGAGCCCCCAGGTAGAGATCGCTGTATGCAGTGTCACCCCGCTCATTATTGGAAGTGAACGTCCAGTCGGGTCCAAAATGAGTCTCCTGTTTGAAGCATATTCTAGTAGCAACTTCTAGTGTTCCCATATGATGGACTGGTGGTGCCTGAACAAGGAAAAATTGACATCAATATCATCTCATAACAGAGACTTATAAATCACAGGCAAACATCATATGAGTACATTATTGTAAGTTTAATGGCAAAATTTTATCATTTATTACACTGTAATTGCCATAACAAGACAGTTCAATGCTGATGTTTACCTTCTTCTTGTATGTTGCTGTCTGATGTCTATGATAACTTGGTTTTTTAACATGTCTATTCTAATCACTTTCAACAATGTAATTGGCTGAGTGGAACAGCCATTTTGAAGAAGAACCATCACTATGGTGACCACAATACATATTCATCAATGTTTATTTGCATTTGTGTTTAGAGTACTGATATAACTATTATCTGGCACTACTTTATAATTTATAAGTACTACATTAGTATCAATGTATGCACTCTTGTTATTAATATACATATATAATTATGTTTCATTTATATCATTTGTTTACCATTTCTCAGATTCCTGAAAAACACAAACCGCCCTGTGTAGGAAGCATCAAACTACATAACACAGATCTTCACTTGAGGTTACTAAGACCAATACGATAAATGACTGACCCAAAAAACTGCTAATTCGTTTTTGAAATTTCTTCCATGAAAATCAAACATCTATGATAAACCATGACTTACCTCTGTGACGATAGAAAAACCAAACTTGACTAGATTGTTTAAGTGTTTCCAAAGCCCTTCATCCGAATCCATGTATTCCCGGAAATGGACAGTGGGGAGTCCAGCACTCTCAATGGTCTCCTTATCCCACAGAACTTTGTCAACATGGTCTGTGTGGTGATTGTGGTACACGTTATTTACCAACCAGTTGATGTCATATGAAGTCACATGACCATCTGGCCCTATCAACAAACAAAAGGACCTTGTTATAAATATGACAGATGCAATATGGCAGTGTATAATATCAGAAGAATTAAAAAAGGCAATTTAAAATATTTGGTAATTTTCAACTAAGGCGATCACCAGGACACAAATGGTGGTTAGAATTTAAAGGGAGCAGGGTAGTGTACCCACCTAGCTAGGCCTCGAGTACGTGGCCAGGTGGTCAGTCCAACAAATTTGACAAATATAGCAAGGTTATTTATGACCTACATAGTAGGATCTCTGAAATTGAGAGATTCATCCAATTTTGATCCAAAAGATTAAGAGGTGGGGCTTTGGAGTGAAAATCAGGAATGTTGGCAGGTATGGGTATGTGGGAATGTCTGTGTGAGGTATTGGAGGACAATGATGTCTGTATGATAGGACCAATTAATACAATTCAATAGCAAGTTTAATCTTTGTTGGACCATAAAGGAGGCAATGGTAAAGAGGGAATTAGAGAATTAGCCAATAAGATTAGATAATTTAGTTTAGTAGTAGTGTAAGTGGTATGGTAGAGAACGAGATTCTAGATGTAAAGGAGCAGAGGTGAGGAGAGAGGAATTGAATGATTCAGATTCCAGTATAAAGTACCTGGAATTTGATGAAGAAAAAAATACATTCAGGTACATGTATTATGATGAAGATGATGATATAGTGGTTATGTAGTACCTAAACTGCCATCAAGAGAAAATCTTCCTTAATTCAATCAATTTTATACCAGCTTAATGAAACTTTGCCTATTTTAGCTTGTAAAAGTTCCTAAATGATTTTTTTTTACTGTTTTAATCAAATGTCATACCAAATGGAAACTCATATGTTATATATTTGGTATCTTTCTTTCAGTTTTTACTCACAGGAAATCCCAAGAACCAAGCCATCAAATTCAACACTAGAGGGTGTCTCTCCAGTAAACAGCTTCTGACTCTGTACATTTCTCTGATTTGTATCATGGCTGTAACAAGTATTACAACGACAATGATCTCGCAGCCACACAAATAAAAGTTCCATTTCAAACTCGCCATATTTCAAAGAAATCCGATCACTGCTGATCTTGACATTGTCGGATCTACTCCCTGATACTGACACTTTGTTTCCTTCTGTATGCTGATACGGAGAGCTGATATGGAATTTTCGTATTGTTTCATCAGAACCTAATAACTGTTGTTGTCGTACTGGTTTTGATCCAGAATGTAATGTCAAGCAAGATGGTGTCACCAAGCTCTGTTCTGACCATTTCGCCAATCTCACTCCTGTTCTTCGTAAAGGAAAGACAACTCTGTACATCGTCCTTAAATCCTAAAATATAAAAAAGAAAAACTAGTGAAAACAAATAATGAATAGGTGGCTTTACCTGTTTTTTTTGGTTATATTCTTATTCAACTTTACCCTAATTACTCTGGATGACTTCAGAAGTTGATCATTGTTTATTTTCTTACAACCTGAAAGTGTGTAGTGTGTTGAACAAACATAGCATACTCTATAGATTTAGCTGTTTTTGAATTTTCACAGACTGAAAAAGATTTTCAAATTGCAAGATCTTATTTTGTCAAAGGTATGGTAGACTTAACTCTGCTATAAGTATGGGTGTGCCGTGTCAATTGCTTTCTGTGATTTTTACTTTAAAATGACTTTTAACCCACATCCAATTTATTGAATTATACATGACTGTGCAACCATGTAACAAAATAACCCACCATAGCTGTCACACCAAACTTTCGACGAGGCTGAAAAATAACTTTTTTTTTTGTTTGTTTACCTTCCCTACCATCTTGTAGCTCAGAAGCACAAATGTAAATTGCTTAGAAGCTTAAATGTTATTTTCAAGATGACGACCATGGTTGCAATATTACATTTCGGACCGACTCGAAAAGTAGTAACACTCCATAGTCAGAACGACCAGGATCATAACAGCTCGATCGCACTGGTCGAAGAAGTTTTAAATCGAAACAAAAGTTTGCACACGGTGCATGATGAAGAATATGAAATACGTCGACTATGGGTCATCCTGACCTCTTTAATTCGGTTCATATGACCTTATGAATAGTAAACAGTCGGACGTTCCCACCACAAAATGACAAACCTTACAGTACCCTCAGTAGGCCTTTTTAAAAACTTAACTGACAGCTAATAAAAGATGTTAGTTTTGAAAAGTAAAGCATAAAATTAATTACTGTTATAGTTAATTGCATCAAAAAATAAACTAAATACGTAGCTATGTAGATGAAAATTCATGACAATTACGATTTAGAGATGAAATTTAATCGCAATCAAAACGAAAATTTCTCCTACCTTCCTCTCGTCCTTTGATGCCGGATGTTTGCTTTTGTGTATAATAAAGAAACGACCAACTGTTTGGTAATCCGGATTGGTATCATTAGGATATACAAAAATGTCTGCTTTATTTTACAACTACTGTTATTAATCGCGACTACAGAAGATTTTATATAAGTCGTATAGAATCAATATATTTACACCGACCAACGAAAAGTCTTGTTCTGTAATGTATGTCCACGGACAAGTCTGTGTTAGGTCAGTATTGTAAAGTTGAGACAACTTGGATAAAACATTCTCACATTTTATATTTTACATGCTCGTACTATTTAACCTGTCTTTTGTTTGCTTATTAATATTTTTAACAGTACGTGTTTACAGAAAAGGTAGAATTTATGGACTAAGCTGACCAGAAGTATTTTCATATTCCTTTCAAATATTTATAAAATACCGAAAATAGTATCATGGATTAATTTCTAAGCTTAAACACATTGATGTCTAGTTTTGGAACATATATACAACTTTTATTCTCTCCTTTCTGAAACTTACGGTGCTGTAGACTCCAGAGCTGGCCCAGGCACGTGCTTGTCGTCGGAGATCATGGGATATGTTTTTGTGATGTAAGTAAAGAAGAAAAGTTTCCGCTTTCATAAAGATAAGTAATTTATCGATGGACCCATTGATCAGGCTTATGCATTTTATTAATGGATTTTCAAAACTTTCCTGATACAGTTCCTCGTTATCATTCCTGGTAAAATTGTTGTAAAATGGAAAACTGGAAGACACGTAATCTATACCATGTGCAGAAAAACAAAACAAAACAAAAAAAAACAAAAACAAAAAACACCACTAAAAAGGCCCTATCTTCGACTATGGAAATTTGTTATCATTATCTTTCTCTCATGTGGAGGTTTCCGTTGGTTCCTAGTTGTGTCTACTTGATATTGGAACTGATCAGATAAACAAGATGACTGTCAGATAACCATCTTTGATTAAATAGTTATTTTTTTATTACTATCTATTACCAAAAAGTGCTTTTCAGATTTTTCTTTATTTTTAAGTGTATTGTAAATTTAATTTAAATATTTTAGTTCTCTCGCTATTTTGAAGAATGTTGTAAGTAATGTAGTCGGCTTTGGCAGCGTCCTACCTTGAAATGTAAGATTTTTTTTTTTTTTTTTGTCTTTTGGAAACAATCGAGATTCGCGTTTGGTATACAATTTTACTATAAAAACTTGACATAAACCATCTACGCACGATATATTTATGCTTATCTTGAAATTAGCCTATTTCCATTGGCGTTATTCCTTTCTTACATGTAAATATATTTTGATACAATCATAGTGAAATTAATAATATTGACTGTGTTACATTCATATCTGCGTTTTATTTTCCATATCCATGAAAGCCTATCTAGCACATGCGAGTTACCTCCCTTGCACCATTCTGCGACAGAACGCCGCGAGGAAACGTGGTATTTAGAATTCAGTAAATATTAATTATAAACTTTAGTATGTTCCTCTTACAAAAGTTAGATAAGATGAAAATCTAGAATGAAGATACACTCAAATGCCTCAGTTTCGAGTTCGGATTTTTAAAAAATTTTGCTAATGACTTTTAGCTTGGGATGTAGACCCCTGTGAATACCTTGAGTAAACAAGTGTATACAATGTGGGAATCAGATAAGTATGTAGCAATGTTGTATCTTTATGAAATATCTCATATATCATAGATTTATTTATATAAGATATGTTATATATTGATCATATCTTATAGGCCTGTCTTCATAAGATATCTTACATATTTAAATATGATATTTTAAAGGCCTATTTATATACTTTATTTACATATCAAACTTTTAAGGTATATCTTTATAAGGTATCTTATATATTTAAAGTCCTACCGTTATAAGATGTCATCCCGACAACATTTATCTATGAGTTAGTTGAGAGAGAGAGAGAGAGAGAGAGAGAGAGAGAGAGTTAGCATACGCTACGTTGTGGGGAACTCTCAGCAGTCTTAGGACCAACGTTATGGGGTTCGTTCAGTTTGTGGGGAATTTCTAGTTCCCCACAATTACATATGGTATATTTTCGTGATCCTGGTGTAAATCTGAACAAAATGAGGCCAAACATGGAAAAATCCTTATAATACGTATCATGGACTATCACTTCACCGTAAACCGACTGTCTAGGAATCATGGGTAATTTCCCATTAGTTACCTCTTTGCCATTTTCTTAGATGCTGTATTTCTTGGCGGGAAGAAATAGCGGGAAAATATATATCGCTTTATGGGGAAGAGCTACAAAAAAGTCTCACTGCTATCAAGTTATCTTTCTATATAAAATGCATGTACCTATAAGTAAGAATAAACAAAATACTAATTTCAAAATAGTATATATATATATCCGGATTTTGAAGTAATTTAATCAGTAATTGATCTAACATCAAATGTTAAATAGTAAATGGGTAGTAAGAAGATGGGTTGGGTCAACAATTCCATAATAATCCTCCAGACACCCAATAACGCCTCTCTTCAACTTATATTTGTCCCCTTCCAATCTTTTCTGCTTTCTCGCAACCATAACTGTTATTGTGTTACTATGTTTTTTTACGTTCATACTGGGTATCAGCAGTTCGATATCATCATCTTTTCATCGTCACATGCATATAAACTTATAACATACTCCTGTTCTTTTCTCTGTAGTTCCTAATATGGTAATTGCAATGTATTTTAAAATATTATCAAGTGATTATGACCCCAGTTCCCTTTATCTACGTACTCTGAAGAAATTTCCGTTTTTAGAGTCATGCATATTCTTCATGAACGTTGATATTCAGAGTCTCTTGCCAAAAATGACCGGACTTTCACGGTCCTTATCACCACTGTAGATCCGATAGATTTGGATATGGAAGATCGGGGCACGATTGATGCCCCCACCTCAGTTGTTGCACTGAAAACAAGACCTGTTCTAGAAATGGGACAGACGGATGGATGGACAAGTTTGACAGGTGTGTTACCGCATTAGAAATCCATTTTTCCATGGTTTTATGCTCAGCTATGTTATTCAAGAGTTATTATTACATACAGTGCGCTTTGTTGAGAACAGAGACGTATGTAACACGCATACGTTTCTGCTGAGAAGCACGTGATGGATATATGGACAAGTTTGACAGGTGTGTTACTGTGCACGTGCTGAATTCTGGCAGGTGTTCTGAGTAAAGCATGATTCGTACGACGTGATGTATACAAATTGTATCGGCGACAGAGACGTTGTACAATATTTGAGCTAAGTATAAATCGTTACCGCTACAATCGAACCAAACAACGGGAAAAGGGAGAAAGAATGATGGGAACAAGGGAGTGAAGGAGGAGAAAGAGAATATATGTTGGAGACACATTTCATCTGAAGCTTCCTGCTGGCACGCTCTCTAAATTGACAGATTGTGTGGCGACTGAAACAACTGTCGGCATTTTCATACCTGTTACAGTAGCTATAAAACGCCACATGTACTTGGGAATGCATACAACATTTCGAGGATATTTGTTAAAAGTCTCTTGCTCAAATCGGAGTCTTATATCACTGATTTAAATGTATTAGTCGACAAACTTCTATTTCTCGATACGTGTAAATCGTCACTGAATGCCATCTACTGGAAAGGTCGTCTGAAAATTTTTTGGAAAACGAAAACGGTTTTTGTTAAGAATGATTCAATCAAACTACAATCACAATGACTTACCTGCGACAGACACGACATCTACCGACCTACGTACCAACGACAGACACAACTGTGGTCGGTGAGTCGGTGGGCGGGCGTCGTGTCCGTTGTCCGAGTGATCGACGACAGACTCGACGCCTACCGACCGACTGACAGACGACGGACTCAACGCCTACCGACCGACTGGCTGACGACCGACTCGACGCCTACCGACCGACTGACTTACGAGAGACACGACGCCTACCGACCGACTGACCGATGACGGATCCGACACTTACCGACCGACTGACCGACGACGGACTGGACGCCTACCGACCGCCTTACCGACGATGGACTGGACGTCTACCGACCGCCTTACCTACGACGCCTACCGACCGACTGACCGACGACAGATACGACGTCTGTCGACCGACTGACCGACGAATTACACGACACCTACCGACCAACTTACTAACGACAGACACGACACCTACTGACTGACATACACACAATAGACATGACACTTACCGACCAACCTACCAATGACAGACACGACACCTATCAACAGACAAGCACGAAACGTGTCATTATCAAAATTACAATGAAAAAATAAAAGATAAAAACAAATTGAGATATATCTTTATATTACTTTTAGATTGTTTACATGAATAAGTTGTGAAGATATTACCTTTTTTGCAGATTAAGATTGTTTACATGAATAAGTTGTGAAGATATTACATTTTTTGCAGATGAAGTATTGAAGCAGATTAAAATGTGAATTTAATCTAGTTTCTTTTCCTGTAGAAGAAACATCGAGTAGCTAGTGATGTCAATGAACCTGATCCTGTGATGTGGACACAAGCAGCAGTGACCTCATGATATTTGGGAGGACTAATTAACTGACAATCATTGAAATACAAGAGGACAGGGTACCAAGGAGGATTTTGTATACACATGTGACTCTATGGATTATATCTAGGCTGACATTTTCAACATCAGTTTCGTGCAGATTTTAATAGTAACACCGAAGAACATTTATATTCTTGATGTTACCTTGTTATATTCCAAAAGGCATCATTTCATAATTCCTTTCATAAAACAAATAAAATTATCTGTAAATTTTACCTGTTCATTATTCGAAAAGAATGTATGTAGATCCCATAAAAATCATAGCAGCCATAAGGCATTTGTATATTTTGTTTATTAAATTTGTTAAATTCAAATTATTGTTGTTTTTTTTATTGTTTCTATTGTCATTAATTCTTTAAATCTCTACCTACTTTGCTTCCCTGCTACATTTGCTTCTATGTAGTTCGTTACTGTTTGAAAAATTATTTAAAAAAT